CCCCCCGCTTGCACACATGCTGTCTCTCAAAATAAATAAATAAACTTAGAAAAAAAAGAGAAGTGCCCGTAATAAGATCTGCAAAAGAGAAAAGAAAAGAGGAAGAGCCATAATGGAATTACACAGATTATAGGGTTTAGAGTGCAAAAGCTTTCCTGTCATGCCATCCTCCAAAGAGGAATCTATCCACAGTTTCTTTTGGAAGAAATGCATATGAATATATATTTTTATTTCTCCCTCTTTTTGTATAAAAGCAGCATACTATACCCACCTTTTCAAGGTGTGCTTTTTTTCACCTCAATACATCCTGGAGATGATTCTCCATCGGCACATAAATTGTGTCCTTGTTCTCTTTCTTTCTTTCTTTCTTTTATGTACTATTATGTTTTCATTGTGCTAAAATATACCAGTATAAACTGACCGTGTTAACCATCTCTAACGGTACAATGCAGATGCATTAAGTAGCTTCACAATGCTGTGCAAACCATCACCACCGTCCATTTCTAGGGCTCTCGATCATTCCAAACGAAACTCTGTGCCCATTAAACATAACGTCCCCTCTCTCCCTCCCCAGCTCCTGGTGACCTCTATTCTACCTTCCAGCTGTATGAGTTTGCCTATTCTAGAAACCTCATATAAGAGGAATCACACAATACTGACTTTTTGTGCCTGGCTTCTTCACTTAGCATAACGTTTTCAAGGCCCATCGATGTTGTATCAGAACTTCATTGCCTTTCAAGTCTGAGTAATTGCCTCTTGCATGCTGTATACCACACATTGGCTTATCCATTCATTCTGCCCATGGACACTTGGGCTGCTTCTGCCTTTTGGCTCCTGTGAGCGGTGGCCCTGCTCTCCTACGCGGCTGCCCAGGGTGCCCTTGTGCGATGCCTCCGATCACGTGACAGCCCTGCTGATGAGCATCGACCTATGTCCAGCGGTCTTTTGCTCCCTCGAGCAGGGCTGCAGTAAATAACTTGTGTGAGCATCATCTTGCCTGTGGGAAGACAGATCCATCCTGGCTGCCGCAGTGAGGGAGGGAGCGGAACAGGACATGACATCCCCTCTTCTTTCCCCTAAACACAGCCTCATCCCCCTCCCGCAGGCTATCAATGCGGCCAAGCACGGGGTAGCTGGGGTGCTGGTGTACACGGACCCCGCAGACATCAACGATGGGCACAGCTCCGCCAGCCAGACCTTTCCGAACTCTTGGCGCCTGCCTCCCTCAGGGGTGGAGCGAGGCTCCTACTATGAGTATTTTGGGGATCCTCTGACTCCCTACCTTCCGGCCAATCCTTCTTCCTTCCGCCTGAACCCTGATACTGTCCCTGGATTTCCTCCCATTCCCACTCAGCCCATTGGCTTTGAGGATGCAAAAATCCTTCTCTGGTAAGCTCTGGTGCCCCCCGGGGACCCCTGCCCGCAATCCAGTGGCCCCCAACCTCCAACCCCCACACCCTCCACCTCCTCCTCAGTAACCTCCAGGGAACCTTGGCCCCAGCTGCCTGGCAGGGAGCACTGGGCTGTGACTACAAGTTGGGGCCTGGCTTCCGACCTGATGGAGACTTCCCAGCAGACAGGTGAGGTGGGGCCCCGCTTCCTCAAGGTTCCTCTCCTCTCCTCTTCCCTTGTTATGCTTCTCTGCCCACGTCAAGGCCTGGCCTTTTCCTTTCTTCTCTCTCCCAACCTTCCCCTGACTCCAAAATATCTGTCTTGTCTTTGGGGAAGCCACAAGGCCCTGTGGGGTTCCACCCGCCCTTCATCTACACCCTCCACTCTCCAGTCACCCTCTCTCTCTCTTGAACTCATTCCCAAACCAAGGCCTCTGCACTTGTTTGCTGCTCCCTCTGCCTGAACACCATTCCCCACGCTCCTGCCACTCCTGGCCTGTCCTCCCCCCATCTGCCACCAGGTGTCCTCTTACAGGTCAACCTGTTAGTGTCCTCGCCACACCCCTTCACCGCCTGCAGGTGCTGTCTTCCTCGTGGTTTGTCTCGCTCAGGGGAGGGAGGTCCCCCCAAGGGCGGGGCTGTGTCTGTCTCAGGCCCTGCCCAGAGCCTAGTAGGGTGCAGGCATACACTAAGTATCCAATAAATACTCTCACCTGAGTAAGTCAGTCCGTGAAAAGAACTGACTCTAAAGAGCGGGGCCCTAGCCTTGCTGCCTCTCCAGGTACTTCTGGGCAAGTGACCTCGTGGTGTCGCTTTCTCGCTCTGGGTCCCAGTTTCCCCTGTATTGGGTTGTGAGGGGGAGTGGGCAGGGCCAAGACTCTGCTCGCCCCCTTGGCTCCCCAAGCCAGGTGAACGTGAGCGTCCACAACCGCCTGGAGCTGCGGAACTCCTCCAACGTCCTGGGGATCATCCGCGGGGCGGTGGAGCCCGGTGAGCGCCCCGTCGGGGCTCCCTGACCACGCCCCCTGCGCTCCGCCCGGCTGGCCCCGCCCGCCCTCCTTCTTCCCTGGTTTCCGAGCCTCTGCTCCTCTCTCCAGACCGCTACGTGCTGTACGGAAACCACCGGGACAGCTGGGTACACGGGGCCGTGGACCCCAGCAGTGGCACTGCCGTCCTCCTGGAGCTCTCCCGAGTCCTGGGGACCCTGCTAAAGAAGGGTGAGGCAACCCCCGGTCCCGGTCTAGGGACTCTCCCAGCAGGAGGTCACCCGCAGCCCACTCCTCCCCCCAGCTTCCCCCCCCCAGTCCTCTCCCACCTCCTCTCTCTCACTCTCCAGTGCCCACTTGTGCCAAGCCTGAGGGCCCTGTGGGACGACCTGCACGGACACCAGCCCTGGCCTTGCTCCGGTCGCCCAGTGGGACATGGGGAGCTCGTGCGGTGGCTGCTGAGAGCCTCCTGTGTCCCTCCAGTGGAGGGAAACCGGGTGCCACCATAAGGAAGCCAGTGCCGGGCTCTGCCTTCAGCCTAGTTGAGGCAGGGATGACAGGCAGTCGTTAACTCAACAAACATGTCCCGTATGCCTACTATGTGCCAAGCCAGTTCTAGGCACAGCAGACCCCACAGTGAACACCTGAGTGGCTGTGTGTAAAGACAACCGTGGTCACAGTTTCTCCTGCTCCAAATGGGGAGGTTATAGGGAGTGAAGACCCTACATGGAGGGACCCGTCAGAGGCCTTGGCATCCTCAGGGCCAGGAGGGATAGTGGGCTTGGGCCAAGGTGGGGGCAATGGGAAGGAGGTCTGTGGGTTGTCACAGGTGCGGGAGAGGACGAGTGGAGGACTCCTGGCTCCCTGATTGCTGGTTTGAGCAACCTATATATGGCAGTGCCATTTATGAAAAACAAATTGGGGTCAGAGGGCAGATCGAGGGGGAAGAACGTGAGGTTAGTTCTTTACATGTTGATTTTTTTTTTTTTTTTT